CAGCTCTTCCATTTTGGGCAAAAAAAAGTTTGTTATCATCGCACGGTAGCGCTCGCCACTCACAGTTACGTTCCGGCCATTGTCGTCTTTGAAGAAGTACGGCCCGATGATGCCACCGGCCCATAATCCACACCAAACAGTGATTTTTTCGGGATGCATTGGTAGCTCTTGCAATGCTTCTGTCTGGTCTTCACTCCAGATGTGGCAATTTTGCTTGTTAACGTACACATTCAACCAGAAATGAGCTTTGTCGCTGAACACAATTTTTCGATAAAAATGTGGATCTTCCTCCAACTTTGCCAGCGCCCATTCACCAAATGGTAAACGTTGTGCTAGGTCGTGTGGCTTCAATTCTTGCACCAGCTGTATCTTATAAGGTTTTACACCCAAATCCTGTCGCAAAATTTTCCACGTAGTGGAGTAACAGAGGCCCAATTGCTGCGAACGGCGGCGAATCGACATTTTACGGTCATCACTAACACTGGCGGATACAGCCGCAATATTTTCTTCAGTCCTCACTCCACGTCTGCGTGTTGGTGGTTTAATGTCCAATAATGTAAACTGGGTTCGAAATTTAGTCACAAGCTTCCGAATAGCTCCCTCAGTAGGCCGACCAAATTGCCCATAAATTGGAAGCAGTGCTCGATGCACTCTCTTAACCGAGCATGAATTTTGATAGTAAAATTCAATAATTTGCAAGCGTTGTTCGTTCGTAAGTCGATTCATAGTTAAATTATAGACCAAACTGAACAAGTTTAACAATGACACAAGACACGATTCACGCGTCATCTGTCAAAAACAGTGTTGCCAAAAAGATACTAGCAAAAAAATCACCCATTATAATATCACTTCTTAAGTTACGTAATGCAGGTGCGGATAGCCAACAGTGCATCATCTGGGGACGCGACACCAAGTTTATGTGCAAAAGTGAACACAAAATAATGACGAGGGTAGTACACGAAAGAAGAATATTTCAAAAATAGGTTGTACAAAACATAAATGGATGTCACTGTGGCATACGCGTTTCTCTCTCTCTCTGTCTCGCTCGTACACATCAAATACAGGACCTCATAGATTCTCCATCTACCCTGTATACTGTTAACCAGAAACGGGTCTAAGGTGTAAATGGCCTGGATCGTGGGACCGATTCTTGAAAACGAGATAGTAGAATAACTAGTAGGTTCTAATAATAATTTTCGAGGAACGTTCAACGTTTCCGCGATAAAAAAGTTGCTCCCCAGGTCAAGAAAAGGAATTCTGCAGTCGTCCATCATTCTCATTACTAAAACCAAAGTTAAAACATTGCATAATATGAAAGAATTAGGGACATTTACTATTAATTGGCCGAAAATGAATGATTCACAAATATGATTGACAAACGGCGTAAGCTGACAGATATTGCCTTGAAAAGTAATTCAGACCTATTGCCTAATCTGCTTCATCCTTTTCAATTACCAGCCTTCTGATCTTCGACATTACGTGACAACAAATTCTTTTCGAAGCTGAAAATGATTGGACTTAATTTCTCTGCCTCTCTCCATCCGCAAACATAATTATGATCCGAAGTCACACAACGAACAGCGTCGCTAAATCGGTGGAATTTCTTTTAACGATATTAAAGTAACGTATATTATATTATAATTATTTACTGAAAAAACACCGATTCTGTGCATTGACCTCGTTAATTTTCTTCATTGTCATGTACCAAAAATGTCATTCATGTAAGTTGTGCAACGTTTTTCTCAAGTTTTTTGAGGAGTTATAATATTGCACCAGAACTCGCTGGTGATAACCTGGTTAAAATGAGTATGAGTAGTCTTACCTCAGATGGCCATAGACGCTTGACTTTCCTTGCTAGCGACCCGCTCTCCTTCCACTTGTAGGTTTTAAAGCATGTACTCCAAATTGATGGCACTATGCGCAAATACACATATTGTGGGTTTTATATGGCGGTTCTATCATTGTTTATTCATAATGTTCATGTGGTTTCATCGAAAGCGAAGAGCCTGGGGTTAAACTCCTCTTCGTTTTCATGCAACACACCGACTGGAATTTAAGAGGCAAATTTCGTCAGCCGTAAAAGCTCTCTATTGTTGTTGCCTGAACACCAAAATGCTGGCTTAATGTTGTGTGGAATGCAAATTTGCTTTCTGCAACATATTTGCTCTAAAATGAAGTGTTTAAAAATATTCTTATAACATAGTTATACAACACCTTGTAGGACAAATTTTTAACTGTTGCATAAACGTTTATACAACTATTTTATACGGCATATTTGTATCTTAGTCAAAATGGTTGTGTTGTGGCATCCATGGTAATGTTTATAAAACAAACCCGAGCATTGTTGTTTTGCTGTGCAAATTCACTACTTTAGCCAACAAATTGCTCCCAACGGAGGCACTTATACAACTGTTGTTTAGTAACTGTTAAAGGCTGTAACATATGCAACAATATTACAACTTTTGTACTACAAAATTGCTGTGCTAGACATACATTCGTTGCTAAATATGTTGGTATACAACTTCACCATAACCTAACTTTCTGCTGCCTTATTTTTATTGAAATGCCATAACCAATGTTTTAAGACAAACAGCGCATGCATATTGGTTAAAAAGGTGTTATCAACTGTTCAAACAGAAGATATAGATCTGGTACAAATTCTGGGCAAATCATTCGGCTCTGTCGGTATTTCATTTCAGACATTTGTCAAATTGTTGTATAACACCTGCAGGCAACACCAAAATATTCTAATAAACTAAAGACAACATAGACGATGCCATAACCACCCGCCCTATTGGGCAACATTTATTCCTCTATTTAATATTAAATAATTATGTTTCAGTTCGAAATTACAGATATAAAGTGATAAACATTAGTGTAATTGTGTCTAAATATAGGATTTGTGGAAGATATAACGCAGATAAGTTCAGTTTTCCATCTTAAAAATCTAGACATACTTTTGATCATTATTAAAATATGAATCAAATAGGAAGCCCGTAGAAATTGCGTAACTACTTTGCACGATAATCACAATAAAATTTGCTGCGCAAGTAATTCAATAGCCCTATATCACAGTGTAGAAGTTTATCATACCTGTGTATGAAATTCATTATGGCCGATATGTAAGTAAACAAGATGACTGTAATGTGTTAATTATATATTCATCACTTTGTCTATACAATACATAAGAAATAGTTTGGTTGCAATAAAGTAGAATCACGTAACAGAATAGTTGTATAGTTGACAAAAACTGAATCTTGCACCGAAGCAAATGTTCTATAGCGGCTGCAAGAGGCTTACAATTTTGTTGTATAACTGTTACCTGCAGCCCTTATACAACCTTAGGTGTGCCCATTTAGCTTGTATAATTGTTGTAAGAGGGTTTTGCCAATGTTCTTACAGTATACAATGCTGTGTAAGGAATACTGTATAATCATTCTTGCAACTCTAATAGGAGTGATAATTGTTAGTTGGGCAGGGACTTGATAACACTTCAAACATTCTCCGAAGTGTATCTCACATTTTTTTATCTGTTCTTCTTGGTAACTGAAGTCACTTACATTGAAACTTCCACGTTATAAAGCAAATGATTCTTATAAATGTAATTTAAGAAGGTGTTCAAAAGAATAGCTTGCAATGACTGGACTATACTTATGTCTCTTTTGAACTACAAACACTTCACATTACTACCACAGATGTTCTAGGAAAGGACATTCGTGAGCGAAAGATGTAGGATAGTGAAAATAAAGAAAAGTTCCCGTTTTGACCATGTAGTTTGATAAAAGGAAGCGAAAGTCTAATGTTAAGATCTAGTTTAATGTGAAGATAAGGATTTGGAATGGCATTTGGAGCACTTTTGGACATTCTAAGCGAAAAAGAGTGAGACTTCATTATATTGTAAAATGCATTCTATGTGATACGTAGATAACAGACGATATATATCACGAAAATCTGATATAGATACAAACTAGGTCACACATACTCTCTCGGCGAGAATCCAAGGCAGCGGATTTGCCCAACATTTTTCTAACGTTTCTGTGAAGGTACATTTTCCGATATCATCTCAATTCAACCCATATCTTAGGAAGTATGGTGGAATACTTTTTACATGAAGGCTGGTTTATTGTAATATTAGTTAAGAAATTATGATACGAGGTCTGTAAATTAAGCGATGAGACTGTTTTTTTAATTAATTGCAATATTACATTGTTACCTTCAAAATAACTTCCTTCTGAAGCCACACAGCGCTGGTGACGGTTCTTCCACTTCTCATAGCACTGCGGGAACTCCGATAGTGGAATAGCTTTACAGCCGTTTGAACGTTTTTGACTGTCCCAAGATGCATTCCTTTGAGGAGATTAGTCAACTTCGGAAAGAGAAAACAGTGACAGGGACTCAAGTCAGGCGAATAAGGAGGCTGAGGAGCCACAGTAATGTTCTTACTGGCCAAATGTTCGTTCAGTGACATTGCTCTGTAACAAGAAGCGTGGACGGTGGTGTGAGTCAAATTCCCCGATCATTCTGTCAACCGAACGCACAACATCCCGGTTTCTGTCGATATTTTCATCGGTTCTTGAAGATGAAGGCCTTCCGCTTCGTGGTTCATCTTCAATCGACTCTCTCTTCCTTTTGAAAGTGCCTTAAACCTGGGCTTTTCACAAAACTCTATCTCCGTATGTCTGCTGAAGCTTAGCAAGAGTTTCCGTTGAACTATGCCCAAGTCTGAAGCAAAACCTGTTCGCACACCGTTGTTCAAAATTGATGTCACTCATTTTTAGAACACAATAGGAAAAACTGATTCGCAAAAAAAATCGCTACAATCAAATCACTCGACCGATTTCAACTTGTACTGAGTGTTGCCAGATCGAACGCTACGTTGTCAGCCTCATCACTCAATTCACAGTTCATGTATATACCGTAAAGCGGATAAAAAACGTTGTATACGGTTGGTTATAGTCGCGAAACGGAAATCAAACAAATCCTATTCAGATAGCAATGATCTTATTTGGAGAATCGTATAATACACTTTATTTTTTTTACGTATACACTAAATGACTATATAATATTCACTGTGCCCAATGACTTTGAGGTTCGAGTTAAGATTAAGGATTATGCCGATTCCGGCTACATGTTCGTGCTGTCCTCGAGTTCTGCGCCTCTCTAGTCTCCCAGTTGCACCCATCTCCTTCACTAGAGTATACGGGAAGGAACCACCGGTACCATTTGCCTCCAAACACCTGAAACATACATGTACTTGGTAGTATCCTAAACCCGAGGTTCCTCTCGCGTGGGTAGTTTAGGAGAAAGCAATGCAATATTTGAAGTAATCCAAGTTATTTTGGTAACAGATATCTTTGTTTAACATTTTACAATAAATAAATGTGAACGTCCCTCCGTCTGTCAGCATCATGTTTGAACTACGATACAAAGAGACGTAAAAATGTGTCCACTTACTAATAATATCCCCAAGGAACGTTATATGCATGTTATATATATATATATATATATATATATAGGCCAAAAAATACAATTAATTGTTAATTGGGAAATTGGCAAACTTTTTAGGCTTTAGTTAACTCTATTGACGGTAATCTCTACCTTTCGGCAATTCTCTATGGAGCCTTCATCAGGAGCTGTATTGGTTGCCAGCATCATAATTGTGTTTTCAGCTCCGAATGAAGGCTACATGGAGAATTACCGAAAGCTAGTGATTACCGTCAAAAGAGTTAAGTAAAGCCTAAAAAGTTTGCCAAATTCCCAATTAACAATATATTGTATTTTTTGCCCAACTGGTTGTCGGCAATGGCAATGACTACTGCTCACGTTATATATATACAGGGTGACTTTGAAGTTGAGTCATTAATTTTCAGATAATGATTGTAGAAGGAAGATAAACCAAAATATGTGTGTAAAACTGTTACCTTGTTTTATAAAGTATCCTCCCGACAAGTATTTCAGTGCGGACCTGTATTTGATCGTGCGGTCTTGGAGCACCGGCTTGCCCTCCCCTGTGAGGTCTTAAGTCACCTGATTCACGAGCCCTTTGTACTTCATTAACAAAGGCACGAGGGGTTGGTTGCACTCGATTGGGAAACCGATCCGCATAAATCCGTGATGCCGCGGCAGCATTTTGTAAAGACTCCGCCCCCGTAAATAGAATCATGTCCACAAGTTCAGCATTTTCGTAAACATGTGCCATTTTTTGTTTCGTTTGAGCCACGCAACAAACACCACTATTCACTCACGCGTTACCGTTTGGACACATTGACTGAATACAACTGAATAAAATTGTAGTAAAAACATCGTGATAAGCGTTCAAATTCTTTCGCTTTTTGTTCCGATGCGATGAACGATAAGGCGGATTATATCCGTTATTGCCAAACACGAGCACATAATATTATTATTGAGACAGGGCGGTACTCAAACTTCTAAAGGGTTATAACTTTGTTACTTTAATTTTACCAGAAAATGTTAAAGGAAAAACATTCTTTTGATCAGATCTACTCACTGTTAAAATAATGACTCAACTTCGAAGTCACCCTGTATATATATATATATAGAGAGAGAGAGAGAGAAAAGAGAAAATGATCATTCGGAGAAAGGTATATAACAAAAAGTAGGAAAATACTGGGCAAAATCCGCAAAAAGGATGAAAGTGGATTCGAGCAGAAATAGGATAGGTAACCCGAGCGATACGTATTTCTGCTGGTGGCTTCATCAGGCCCGGAATGAATGTACATATGCAACTACAAATGTAGATACACATGTCCACACATCCGGATACGGGTGTAACCTGAGGAAAGATGGAGAGGGAAAAATCGACACACGAGTCCACAACAAGAGCCAACCTACACATTGTAGTATAAAATGGCTAGAAGAAATCGAATTTTCAAGGAGACATCTAACCACAACCACGCGGCCGGTTATAGCCACATGCTATGTTACTTCAAGCCCAAAGGATCTACAAAGGGGAAATGACCATGCGGAGAAAGGTATATAACAAAAGTAGGAAAATAATGGGCAAAATCCGCAAAAAGGATGAAAGTGGATTCGAGGTCTTCTAGCCATTTTATACTACAATGTGTAGGTTAGCTCTTGTTATGGACTTCGTGTGTCGATTTTTTTCCCTCTCCATCTTGGTTTCCTCAGGTTACACCCGTATCCGGATGTGTGGACATGTGTATCTACTTTTGTAGTTGCATATGTGTATTCATTCCGGGCCTGATGAAGCCAGCCAGCAGAAATACGTATCGCTCGGGTTACCTATCCTATTTTCTGCTCGAATCCACTTTCATCCTTTTTGCGGATTTTGCCCATTATTTTCCTACTTTTTGTTATATATATATATACTCGTATATATATATATATTTGCTTATATAACTATGAAATCCCAGGACACTCCGAAAACTTGGCACGGATTTTTTTAAAAAAGTTTTAAGATAACAAAAGTAATCTGTTGATGATCTCAAATATGACCTCAAAATCTCCCAGGGAGTTGACAACACTAAGTATGATAAAAGTGCGTCTTTCTAAACCTTCTTTCGTATCACTCACTAAATTTTGTTTAAGAAAAGATACCACGCTAAACAGTGGAAGTTGATTATACCTATTAGGTTATTACTCGTGATTTCAGAAATTCTAGAAAAAATCATACAGATTCAATATAGACTCTACTCTAATGAATGTTGAAATACCGCGTCAGACACCTCAGGTCCAACTTCCGTTACGTCGTTTGGACTGCAGCCCATGAACTTATGTATTTCAAAGTTATTTTCCGGGGTAAAAAGTAGCCTGTGCTATTTCAAACTATAATATGTCTCTAGAAACATATTTCATCGATATTCGTTCAGCCATTTTGGCGTGATTGAATAAATATTCACAGTTTCTCATTAATAATATTAGTAGGGATTTAATCTCTATTTAGGTCAATACGTCTACATGGCGATTTTGGGTCTCACCTGTATGAAATTTTTTCTAGCTCCCAAATTGTAGGTTTTCGATCCGTGCACTAACGACCTTTCCTTTTGCATTCCTTCTAAGGTAGTGCTATTTTTAAATAATAACTACAGTGGTAGAAGTAAAATAAACAACCATACAATCTGCGGAAAGAAAAAATTAACCCAAACAGTTGCATAAATTTATTGGAATAAAGAGATATGGTTATTCTTGAAGAATGCATCCATTTTTCTTAAAAAAGGTGCACGTTAGTCCTGAAGATTTAAAAATCATCTCCACAAATATAAAGATAATGTGAAATGGAGGTTTTTACAAAAAAATCGATTGCCTGTAAACTATTAAAAACAATTCCGATCCTGGAGGTAGGATAAGGAACGAAAGCAGAGCAGAGTATCGTTTATCAGAGGTATAATATATATCCCCAAATACGATAGTACAAATGCCACCTATTTCTAGAATCGATCATCTATTAGAGTGGATAGCAGCTGTACAGTTTGCATCGACGGCTGAGACATCACTGTGACCACTTGAGGCCGTCGATTGTGACGATCTAATATATGATGGTCTACTCACCACTGGAAACTAATTGGCGATTCTGGTAATAGATAGCATCGTGTCCCATATTGGCACTTTTTTAAGACGCGGGAAGTATTTTATACCCACTCTCAGGCAGGAAAGCTCGATAGATTCCTTTTCTCGGCCTGTTTCTCTGCCTTTAATGTAAGCGGCATTATCACTAAAAGCCATGCATCCCACCACGGAAACGCATCGTGGATATCGGCATTTTTTTATCCACTAACCAGACGGCTTAAGTTATAAAGGAATTAAGGAAATGTTGACAACGTCTTACCTAACAGCGCTGCAAGCGAGAACCCAGCAGTTACAGCGACATGATTGGCGTACTTTTGGTCCTGGAAATAGTCAGTGATGAAGGGCCCAGTGGTTGCCATGTAAAAAGAACAATACTGTACTGTGTATAGTACTGTAAGGAGAAATAATTTCTGGTTGTGCAGACCCACACAGTTTGCTATCCACGGACAATGATGATCCATCTTCAAAAGGCAGGTGCCGCACTGCGAACAATGGTGAGCTCGATCCGGTTTGAAGTGGATGCAGATTGCACAGAACCTACAATTACGAGCTGTGTTTTTTAAGACAGGAAATCGCCTATTTTGTTAACTAGACCACCATAAATGATCACAAAAAATATAGGAAAAGCCCTATTATTACCTGTGGTTCTCAGGTATTCGTCAATATGTGCTTATTCGTTTCCGTTAAAGGTGAACGCCCACTGAGGTACAGGAAAGCGACATGTCGCGCGAAAATGTCAAATAGTCGCCGTGGTAGCCAAAAGTTTGAATAGCCACTGAACTCCATAGCTAAGTGCGTAAATGCTGTTCTACGCGCAAGGTCATCGCCACATTGCATGGCAAGTGTGATGCAGAAGGACCTACAATCTACCGCGTTGTCAATATGTTACACCGTAAAATGTTGATACACGCTTCTAGAATAGGTTAGGTTACTGTTAAACCCAAAACGGAGGTCTGTTCGAACATTTAATTCAATTTTTTTTATACTCCAACTACCACGAAGGCCTAAGGCCTAAGCACCCATTGGGTACCGTGGGGCTATAGGGGGATACATACATGGAAATTGGGAACGCCACACGGACTCTGGCGAAGGAACACGTGTACATGCAACATGCACACATTCTGGCTCCGCCTAGGAGATCCGTCGGGTGGTACCTCCGCGTTCGACAGTCACAGACCGTCTACCACCAACGGACAATCACAACATCCATAGAGACGGGACGGGACTCGAACCCGCACAGCGCACGGCGACTGATCAGGAGACCGAGGAGTCTACTACTGTGACCGATCCGGAATCGATCTTAAACATAATTCAAAATGTGTACGCTCAAAATAAAACCATTATTTGAACGTGTAGAATAAACTGATGCACATTTTCAGTCTGCATCTTAATTCAAGGAACTGGTGTAATAATATTGGCAACGCGGCTGATAGCCGCGTCAGCGTTGCTAGGCAACGCGGTGATGACTTGGTTATCCAGGCGGCTTCTATCGCTTTCTAACATATGTGTCTAACACACTTCTCTCTCGTATACATTGAACTCAAGCCGTCAGACAAATTTGGTTCTCAGTGTATATCCGTTTACACCATGGCTATGCGCCATTCATAACTCGTGTCAACTTTCCTTAACCTCTTT